GGCCATTAATTCAAGTCATCAAAAGTCCCAAGATCAGTAGAGCAACATGGCAAGTTGCTGAACAGCAACTCGGCTACATGCAGGGTTCAAGAGTGCCATCAACTGGAGACCCTCCTCAAAGTTGCTTCTTATATACTGGAAGCAGCCCACATCCCTGAAGCATAGCTGCTCTGGTACATTCCACTATGGAGTTAATTACCAGTCTCACCAAGGGGAACAACTACATCCCAGCCACTCAACCAGGCCCAGCCAATCTGACATACAACCTTAACTACCACAATTCCACCCCTTGTCAACTTGTCACCTGTACAGATCTTCATGGGGTGGCATCTGTACAGATCTCCTTCACAGGGTGGCTCCAGTCCTAGTTCCTCCAAGTGGCGACCTGATCCCATTGGTCTGGCAAGCCCCATTCCTCTACCTCTTGGACATGGCAGACCTGCCCCCTCACTCCTGGGCAGCAGCTATGGCTCTATCCCACTGGCCCACATGAATGAGCAGCACCACACTCCAGAACCAAGTTGGTGCAGGTCTGACTCTTTGAAACCTAGGAGGCTGTGGTGGTTTCACCCACAAAGGCCATAGTCCTACCATTGAGGCTGAGACAGCTCTGCTTGCAGTTTCCTTGGTCTCTCCACTTCTGCCAATTAACGCCCGAGGGCAACCCACTCCACCAGGAACCTTCCTGCCCAAAGGACACTTAGCTTTCTTGCTCTGTGGGCTGGCCAATCTGCTACTCCATTTCATGTCAGTATCTCCTACCAATTAATGCTTAAAGGCAAGGCACTCTACCAGAAAGCCACCTACCCAATGGCATCCAGCTTTCTCCTCTGTGGGCTGGTAAGACTGTCACTATCTCATGCCAGTCTCTTGGCTCTGCTACTGCCATCTCTCATGCCAATCTCTTGGTTCTGCTGCTGCCGTCTCTCATGCCGCATGCCAGGATCTCTCTGCCAGGGTCTTGGGTCAAAGATGCATTCCACTCCTGTTTCTACATTTTAGGTTTCTGTCAGAGCAGCACCCCACTCTCCCAGCACCATATTCTGTTTTGGTTACCTAGTGCCACTCTGACAGGACTATACCAGAAATGGAATAGGTTGAACAAACAGGAGTCTATTCTCCACGATTCTGGAGGTCAGAAGTCTGAGTTCCAGGTGTCAGGCTGTAAGGGCTGAGTGAAAGCCCCTCAAAACTGGGCTTCAGCTCTGCCTATTGCTCCTGGACCACTGAAGCTAGAGGCATCTCCTCTCTCAGGTAGCTGCTAGCCGCTGAGGCTGACAAACCCGAGATCAACAAGTGAAAAGGCACAGTCCCAATATTACCAAACCACACAGCAGGCCATTAATTTAAGTCCATCTAAAGTCCCAAGATCAGTAGGGCAACATTTCAGGTTGCTGAACATCAACTTGGTTACATGCAGGGTTCAAGAATGCCATCAACTGGAGACCTTCCTCAAAGTTGCTTCCTATATACTGGAAGCAGCCCACATCCCTAAAGCAGCTACTCAGCTGCTCCAGTAGATTCAACCATGGAGTTAATTACCAATCTCACCACGAGGAGCAACAACATTCAGTTGCCCAGCCACTCAACCAGGCCCAGACAATTTGACATACATACAACCTTAATTACCACAACAAGCAAAAGTTTTAACATTAGTAATGCTTAACTATCAAGAAGGAAAAATGAGCCATTTTTAGAGATAAATGGCTAAAGATATAAACCGAGAAACTTCAAAAACGAAATACATACAGTCAATATATACAAAAAACCTTCTATTCCAACTCACTAGTCAAAGAAATGCAAATAAAAACAGTAACAATTTTTAACTATTGAATTAGCATAGTTTTTAAAATATTTGCTACAAAATAACTGGTCAATACTCTTAAAAATGTTGAACATAATAAATACGCTTTATGAAAGACAAAAAAAGGATTAGTTTGTGGAAAATATAAGATTAAAAGAAATAACTAACTTCAGGGTGGGAATCTGAACAGGTTCCTGGGAGAGAGAAAGGCCACTGATACAAAAACTGGTGAAATTCAGGTAAGGTCTGTAGTTTAATGTCAATTATCTGGTTGTGATAAGATCTTAATATTAGAGGAAACTGGGTGAGGAGTGTACAGGAACATTACTTAACTATTTTTTACACTTTCCTTTAAGTCTAAAATGATTTTGAAATAAAATAGATAAAAAGTAATGATAACATTCACTATTGGGGAAGTAGAGGCTATATTGTGGCACAACTTCCCTCCAAGAAAATTTTGGCAATATATACCAAAAGGTAGAAAAGTAGTAGGAGCTCTGGTGGTGTAGTACCTAAGGTATTTTTGACTGCTAACCAGAAGGCAGGTGGTTCATACCCACCAGCCACTCCCCAGAAAGAAGACTGGGCAATCTACTTCCGTAGCGATACTGCCTCAGAAACCCAAGGAGGGGTTGCTATGAGTTGGGTCCGACTCAATGGCACATAACAACAACAACAACATATTTTTCTATTTTTCCAAAATCCTAGTTTTTTGCTTGAAAGCTCAAATTTTATCAGTAGCAAAAAATATCATTTTTGTTTTCCCTGAAGTGATCCTTCATTCAATTTTGAATAAATTTCTGCCAGATACTCAAGATCATTGTATTTTTACACAAATAACATGTATGGTTTGTGCAAACTGCGTAACTTCCTTGCTCAATACTTTCCTATGCACGCTACGTGTGCTATATGTGGGTGCCCATTACATGGGTACATTACTTGCAAAAACACAGTGATACCTATATGCACTAGACAGACTCTAAAATGACCTCCATGATTCCCATCTCCTAGGATTCAGTCTTACTTGATTCCCTTAAGTGTGGGCGGGACCTACAATTTGCACCTAACCAGTACAATATGGCAAACATGACGGGATATAAATGATGGTCCATGCATGATTATATAAAGATGCCAGGCTAATCTTGCTGAGGATTCTTTGTCCCTTACTGGCGTTGGAGAAGTAAACAGTTATGTTGCGTAGGCCCATATAGCAAACAGTGAGCCATGAACCAGGAAGATACAACAACCCACAAGGAACTGAATGCTGCCAATAACCACATGAACTTAGAAGCAAATACTTCTTCAGTATAATATCAGATGAGACCACTGCTTTGGGGGACTATGCCTTGAACGTAACCTTGTGAGACTCTGAAGCAGAGGACTCAGATAAACCATGACTTGATTTATAACTCACAGAAACTATGCCACTAACTGTGGTAATACTGATATAGTGATATAAAAACTAATACACCGTGGTTTGTGTGTTAGTTGTTCCTACAAGTAAAAATGGTTTGCCATTATAAAAAGCAGGTAGTTATGCCTGCAACTCAAACAATTATACGAGTGCTGTTCCTCAAGACAACTATCGCACTTGAGACACAGAAGTACTTTAAGCATACTATCATTTCATCACATGGAATATTAAAAGGGACATGTATTCTAGGGTACAGAATTAACAAAGCTAGTAACATTTTAATACTTCACCAAGGAAATTTTTCAGTGAACCAGGAATTTTTACTTTAAAAGCTAATACAAAAATACCAGTACAGTTTGGTGCAAATCCTCAACTCATACTCGGGCACCAGCACTTCACTTACTATGCTTCTACAGTATCAGTGCAAATGTCGACACGGTAAAGGCAAATAGTGTGTCACTATTAATACGACAATAGTTTCATCTCCCAGACCACTGAAACAATATTAGGGAACCCCAAAGAACTATGGGCTACACTTTGAGAACATCTGTTCTCACAATTATTCTTGAGGTCTCAAAGGGAAACTATCAGAGAAAACAGACTAAAATCGAACCAGCTTACAAGTGTGTTTTATAATTTAAAGGATTTCCAATCTACAACTATACCAGAAGTCAATCTGAGACTGATATGATATGACTTTCTGGTTCAGTTTAAGATTCCTTATGCTTGCGTGCCTATAAACTCTGTAGTTTCTAGGTTATTCAACAATTAAATTAGGAAGTCTGGGGATTTGTCTAAAATTGTTCGTGAGGGAAAAGCACAAAGCACAAAGAAAACATGTCTTTTTTTTTCTTTTTAAAGTACACATTTAAATATACAACAAATATATGTAAGTATGTATATACATATAAACGAACTGTGGATTAGCCTGGATTGAAACCCTAGATCCATCATTTTGCCAGCTGTAAGACTTAAGTGAATCATTTAACATCTATGAGCCTGTTTCCCCAGCTATAAAATGAGGATACCTTATAAGTGCCTGCCTTACAGGGATATTGTAAAAGTGAAGAAATTAATTTTTGTATAGAATTTAGCAGCCTTACATATATTAATAGTTCAATAAATGTTAACCATTACCATTATCTATCACTTCTGTTAAGAGTTGTTAAAACTAATCAAACTATGAAGGTATGTTTTCCAAATAAAGAGCAATAATGGCATTTGAACAATTTTTCCAATTAAGAACAACTGGCCCTGTTTACAATCTCAAATAGTTTACCATTACGCAATTTTCATTTCTGATTATACTTTTATTCCGGTTTTTATAGCATAATTCCCAAAACTATAACTATTTAATTTAAGCATACTAAAATTTATTAACAGGTTGGATAATTAGTTCCTATAGTTATTAGTAGGAGCTCTAGTAGCATGGTGGCTAAAAGCACTTGACTGCTAACCAGAAGGCTGGCGGTTCAAACCCACCAACCACTCCTCGGAAGGAAGGCTGGGCAATCCTACTTCCATAGTGATACCGCCTCGGAAACCCAAGGTGGGGTCGCTATGAGTTGGGGCCAACTTGACGGCACATAACAACAACAACAACAACAATAGTTATTAGTGAATACTGATTAAGTATTCATAAGTTTTCTGATGCTGATTATGCTTCAACTAGAACAGTGACTGGCTGTAATAATCCAGCTTTAATAAACTGGTTATTATCACTATTGATAAATAATACTCAATGTATCTCTGAGCTGACTGAGTAGTTTTAGAAACACTTACAGGTTTAGATAAGGGATGAACAATAACGGAACTATCTGAAGATCTAGATTCAGGATGAAAACTTCCTGGTGAAGCAGCCGCTGGATTTGATGTTGGGTTCGTGTAGTGTTGATTTGTAGGCTTGAATGCAGCAGTAATACCTGTATTTTAAAATTATACAACATATTGAATATATTTCTACAGAGTCAATTACGTAAAAATATTTCACTTTAAAATTAAAATAGTGCAAAAATACTGTACCTCGACTGAGTGCCCCATTCTTTATTCCCCTTGAATATGAGCTGGGGTTAACTCTGTTCAAAATATCTACAAAAAATGATATTTATTTTAAAATTCAAATAAATGAAATACATATTAAGGTAACAGAAATCAGGAACTGAAAATGATTACACATTCCTGTATATAAATTATCACTGATTTATGATTACAGATAATTCTAAACACATAAACATCATTAAAGAAACAAAAGCAGCATTACTAGCCTTCAAAAACCATAGTGAAAAATGAATAATTCTTACAATATGAAAGTCAAAACCTTCTATGTGGTAAAGAATACTCCATATAGTAAAAATTTTCTACAAACATATTAGTATACAACCTATAATTGAAAAATATTTCTTTTCTTGAATAATGACAAGGTTTTACATATACTCAGCTCCCTAAAACCAATTTAAAACCTTCCCCAACCTCCATATCCCATTCACATCCCTAAAAAGACTGAAAATTTCACTGTGGGGGAGTTGGTTGGATTATCCACACAATTATTCTTGAGTTCTTAAAGGGAAACTATCAGAGAATACAGACTAAATCGAACCAGTTTACAAGTGTGTTTTATAATTTAAAGGATTTCCAATCTATAACTATACCAGAAGTCAATCTGAGACTGATATAAGACTTTCTGGTTCAGTTTAAGATTCCTTATTCTTGCGTGCCTATAAACTCTGTAGTTTCTAGGTTATTCAACAATTAAATTAGGAAGTCTGGGGATTTGTCTAAAATTGCTTGTGAGGGAAAAGTACAAAGCACAAAGAAAACATGTCATAAAAATTTCCTTTCTTCTTTCCTAGTAGAAAAGAGTCAAACCAAAAAAACAAATCAGTTGCCAATCAAGTCAATTCCAAGTCAAGGTGACCCTATGTGTGTCAGAGTAGAACCGCCATCAAGTGGGTTTTCAGTGGCTGAGATCTTTCAGATGTAAAGTTTCTTCTACAGTGCCGCTGGGTATATTCAAACAGACCATCTTTCCATTAGCATCCAAGCATGAAATAGTTTGTAACACTCAGAAAAGAACCAGATCCCATTGTCTTAGTTATCTAGTGCTGCTGTAAGAGAAATACAAGTGGGTGGCTTTAACAAACAGAAATTTATTTTCTCACAATTTAGGAGTGTGGAAGTCAGAAATCAGGGCACCAGCTCTAGGGGAAGGCTTTCTCTCTTCATCAGCTCAGCTGGTTAAGGCCCTTGTCTCTTCAACTTGTTTCCTGGTTCCTTGAAAATCTTCACATGGCTTGGCATCTGTGTAATTAAGGTTGTGTGTCACCTTGGCTGGGTTGTGACTTTGAGTGGCATGGCAACTGGATGTAGTTATTCCCCCGATGAGATTGGATATGGTGTAATCAACTCCACGATGGAATCTGCTGTGAGCAGCTAATTAGTTGCCTCTGGGTTGTTGTCTGCTTCCAGTATATAGGAAGAAGCTTTGAGAAAGGTCTCTAGGTTTGTGGCAGATTTGGATCCTTGCATTTGGCTGAATCTTTATTTTCAGTTCCTGGACTTGAACCAGTGGCCTGCCGGTCTTGGGATTGTGCCATTTTGCCTGCCAACCTTAGGTTCATTAGCATCAACAGCTAGCAGCTGCATGCATTAGGAGACATCTCCAGTTCCCTTGGGCCTAGAACAAGAGGCAGAGCTGACGCCCAAGGTTGAGGGGCCTTCATCCAGTCCCAAAAGCTGGCTGCTCTGAATTTGAACTTCTAGTCTCCTAAATGTAAGAGAATAAATTCCTGTTTGTTAAAACCATTCACTTGTGCTATTTCCATTACAGCTGCGCTAGTGAACCAAGACAGCATCTCTTTTTCCCCAATCTCTGCTTCTTAGCTTACTTGTTTAATCTCTTTTATATGTATTGCAAGAGATTGACTCAAGACAAATCCTACACTAATCGTGACTCATTAACATAACAAAAAAGCCAATTCCCAAATGCAATTATAACGACAAGAATAAAGGTAAGAAATTACAACAAATATTTTGGGGAGAACACATTTGAATCTGTAAAAGCCATTCGGTAATTCTTTCAAGGATCACACAAAAACAGGGTTATTCTCTAGTAACAGTGACAAAATACAATGCTCTATAACTAAGCACTACATTAGTTTTCTAGGAGAAATATGTGTTCAAACAACATTGTTTTCTCAAAAACTGAAGATTAAATATTAACTCAAACCATCAGAGAGTTATTCCCACAGTACACATTGGTAGCTGCAATCTATAAGACACAAGGTTTTGAGCACCCTTCACCTTTTATGGCAGTTTTACATAAACATCTAACTCATATTCCATATGCTAAAATATTTTATGGCTTATACATAGAGGGGCAATAGAATCATTTAACCTTTCATTACCACATTATTTTTAAAGTTTTTATAGATTTAATGTGTTTTTGCATGCACACTTAGCCATTCTTTTAAAAGTTTTGTTAGGTGTGATGGGTTTTGATAAATGATACATGGGACACATGTGTCTCAATGGACTCTGGTGGTAGGATAGGTGGGATAAAGCATGGAAAAGATCATTGTATTTTATCAATTTTATTTTATTGAGTGAAGCTTTGAAAAACAGGCTACCACATAAAGTCATCCTGTACTGGCTGCACGTAATTGTTGGAGTTTGCCTCTTAATTCATTCTACATTTTCAGCTTTGCCTTCTAGTTCCCCTGATGGGCAAATGACTTCCAATCTGTTGGAACCAAACATCATTTGGTACTTCTGTGATTCCTGGCTTGTTTTTGTGACAAGAAAGGAGGGTCTTCCCTCTTCTTTTGACTTCCTTACTGACAGTAAGTTGCCCATTGAGAGCAATACTGAAGAAGAGTTGGTCAGTTCTACATTGTAAAACTGTAAAACCCTCTTCTTTTGACTTCCTTACTGACAGTAAGTTGCCCATTGAGAGCAATACTGAAGAAGAGTTGGTCAGTTCCACATTGTAAAACTGTTCATAATGGCAAGGTCAATAGGAAATATAGCAATCAATGGCACCACTTGACAGAGCACCTTCCAATTGTGTACCCTTTCACACCTCTGGTCAATGTGGTCCACTCTCCCCACAACTATGATGCATTCTGCAACTGCTCCTGGACAAGGAATTACTGAGGAACTGCCTTTGTTCTTTCTTCTGACAACAGTGATTATCCTCTGGATTGTGGAATGTGGACAAAACTGTCACAAGTTTATTGTCCTGCCACTTTACTGCTGGCACACATCCCTCTGTACAGAAAACAGTCTACTTTGGTTTAGTCATGGGTCAAGTCCAAATAAACTTTGGCATCTTGCTGAAGGAAGCTTGTTATCAAAGTAGGAGACATTTTTGCACATTCTCTTTCATTTTCTTCACTGTCATCACAATTATGATCATCTGGTTGACCCTTTACTTGTGCAACATCAACTGCTCCATTATCCTTTGATATCATGTCCCTGCTGTTGTTATCAGTGTAATGAGTTTCAAATTTCCCAAAAAGAGCAAGCTCCTATGAGGCATCTTTGTCACATTCTTCCTCAGAATCATCCTCACTCATGAGTAGAGAAATTAAAAGTTCTAAAGCTTCTTCAGCCATGTAAGTAGCTATTTCTGAAAAAGAAGAGTGCTTCAAGAAAAAGTATTTCTAAGCTCAGTGAACCAGGATAATACTAATACCATACCTACAAACCAACATGAGAATACACGAGGGGAGACACTGCATAATTCCAGCCTCCGTTAAAAATAAAAGCCCCAAAAGGAAGTACATTCAGGGGAACATTACTATTGCCATAAATTACTTCTTTTCAAAACAACTGCTTATAGCCCATAAACTAGAAGATAGGTTCTACCATGTTCACATTGTACTGTGCCTGAAAATAAGTTATTCACTTGAATATTATCAATTCCCAAACACAAAATCTTTGAAATAACACATAGGAAACATCAAATATACTTGCAAGCTTAATCTCGCTGGACAGAAGCCCAAAGAGAAAAATTTTACACAATCACTCCTCCAGGATGCACTACAACATACAATAACTTCTCAACACAGTAATATGTCACGGACAAACTTCCTTCTGTTTTATGCAGTTAGGCAAGGCCTTCTCTTCCTCAGGCCAGCACATAAAAGCCTCCAAGAATCTACAGAGCAGATAATGTAAGCAGTACTTACATAGATCACAGGTTATAGAAGAGTTAAATTCTATATTTTAACAATTTAGAAAGGAAACTCTACTAGGGTCACTACCTTTTTGATAGAATCACTTTAAACCTCTTATATGTACTTATAAATGAAATGCTGTTAATCTACAATGAGTATAAATTCAAGTTGAATCTTAATTGTCATGTTTTTAAACAAGAATATTCAAATAATTTTTTAAAATGTATAAAATAATCACAGTGACTTGTTCTGTTGTGTTTTGCTGTTATGTGCCATCGAGTCAGACCCGACTCATAGCAACCCCTCCATAGGTTTCCGAGGCAGTATCACTACAGAAGTAGATTGCCCCATATTCCTTCCGAGGAGTGGCTGGTGGGTTTGAACTGCCAGCCTTCTGGTTAGCAGTCAAGTGCCTTAGGCACTATGCTACCAGAGCTCCCTCACAGTGACTATGAAACAATAATTAAGAGAGATAACATCCACTAAAATCAACAAGCATGCTAACATGCCTAAAATCCATTGCTGTGAGGTCAATTCAAACTCACAGCATCTCTATCAGAGACAGTACATCTTCCCTATAGGGCTGGCTTTCAAGGATGAAATCTTTACGGAAGCAGACTGCCACATCTTCTCCCAGGGGGTTGCTGATGGGTTCAAACCCTCAACCTTTTGATTAGCAGCCAAATGTTTAACCACACCACCTCCTGGGTTCTACCAAACATGCTTCATTCATTTTACAATCAAAGTGGCACTCCACTTAACACTTCAGTGAGAGATTACCAAGTCTGCCACAGGAAATGATATTGAGAATTCCATTGGTTAAATTACTCTCAGCTTGGTAAAAAGTACCATTGTGTAAGGTTGGGTTCCCTAGAGAAGCAAAACCAATAAAACTTACAGAGAGAGAGAAAA